AACAATTCAAGTTTTATATCTTGCTCTAACACAGTTGCACCACATGAGGGAGGCATCCTGCAAGTTTTCTGGTGCATCAGATTACATAAACAAACAAACAAAACAAAACAATCTACAATTCTCTTTGCACAGGAAACTGACACTGCATCTTGTTAAGTAGAGTTTCAGTAGAGTTTTGGTCAGTTTGATAGTTGAACATTACTAACTGCACACTTCACAGATATTAAAATAATGGCTTTGTTACTACAGCCTCTTGTTGTTTTTGTGGCATTTGCAAGTAAGTCTCAAAATTAAGATGTTCAGCAGAACTTATGTCTCTTTACAAAAAGTCATATTTTCCTTCTGTTGTTTGCCAAGGGCTTAGAGTAGCAACAAGTCACCAAAAGCAACAGCTGGTTAACAGTTTTAATAACCACGCGATTATTGAGCGATTCCTGAAACTGAAAATCAGAATTTTGTGCAGTATTATCTGGAAAAGCTGACATTAGACTTTAATGAAAATAACTCAAACTCTTCAGACCTGCTATATTTCATGCGAATCTTTATATATTCATCAACTGTTTTATATGTTTGAGTAACAACAGCACTTTTTTATTCTTCTCCCGCAGGTTTCACTGAAGGAGATGGTGTGTTGCCTGATCGTCTGAATGCAGCTGTACGAGAAACGGCGATGTTCAATACAACACTGTCTCCAACAGAGAAACCGTTTCAATCTGTGAACTGGGTTTTTAATTCCACTATAACTATAATAATCGTAATGAACTCAGAAAAAACTATTGGACCTGAGTATGAAGGCAGGATCACCTTCTTCCCATCTACTGCGTCTTTGGAGCTCAGGAGTCTCACTCTGGATGACACTGGAGAATACAATGTTAACATTATACAAGATGGAATAATCCTGAATGACCGTACTACTCTGCTGATATACGGTGAGCAGATGTAGAAATTCAACAGCTTAACTGTTTTTGCAATATTTAAGCAAGTTTACAATATATCGAACATGTAAAAATACCTGTAATGATTTGTACATGTTTGTTACATCTCTACTCACTGCAGAAATGTATTCTTGCAATACTTCATCTTATTCTTAAGACTGTGATATAAAAGACTTTAAAAAGTGGCTGTAAGAAACTGAATGGTGTATTTGAAGGTAATATTGATCCCCATAGAACAAAGAACAAGCTGAGAACTCAACTGTCTCATTTATTCTGTTCAGAATAGTCACTTAAAGGGAGCTGATTTATTTATTTATAGAAAGGAAAATATTTCAAGATTTTGATTGGTACAGTATTTCTTTCAGTTATTGATATTCTGTCTTTTTAGGTTGTGTATGTAATATATCCTCCTTAACATGACATGGTTTAGCTGGAATT